TTGTACAACCTTGGCACTGTGGTAGACATGCTTTAGACTCGAGGTCGAGTTATTTGTACCTGCCTGTCCGTTTACCTTGTTGTTTGGTGTTCGTATTGCTCCTGAAGTCGTACTAAGCATGCACAGATTACTATAACTTCTGATATGTTTCTTAAAACAATCGCCTTTATTTTGCTTTCTCTTGGATACCGAATGCTTGTTTAGTTTTTACCTCAGTTTCAGTGCCTGTTTTCTTTTTGACTGTAGATGAGTCACTTATTTGGCATTGAGCTGGATGCTCTGGCGACTGCTTTCCAAACGTCAGAAAGTCCAAAAGTATTTGGAACTATGTAAGTTATCGGCTGCTTTAACATTTTATAATAACTATGTAGGCCTTCCACCGCGCCGCCGAACCGTCTTGCTACCCCGTTTTTAACGAAGTTCCCGCTACCTTTAACGCGCAAATCGAGGCTCAAGCTACCCAAATTAAGGGCGGTAACTATTCCTACGGAAGAGGGATGTCTTCATGAAGTGGTTCTTCCTGTTGGCTCCGATCATTTTGCTCCATTACGACCAATATCGCAGACACCATCCAAGACTTATCCTTTTAAGTTGGATCCCTTTCAACGTCAGGCAATTTTGTGCATCGAAAATAATCAATCAGTCTTGGTATCTGCTCACACATCTGCCGGTAAAACAGTGGTTGCCGAGTATGCGATTGCTCGGAGTTTGGCGAATAGACAACGAGTTATTTACACAACCCCTATTAAAGCTCTAAGTAATCAGAAATTTCGTGAATTTTCGATGGAATTCAAGGATGTGGGTTTGATGACTGGCGATATTACAATAAACCCGGAATCAACCCTTCTTATAATGACTACTGAAATTCTTCGATCGATGCTTTATCGGTAAGTGTTGCATGCAATGCGTTGGTCATGTCGTTTTTTTGCTATCTAGGCTTGGAAGTTAGCGTCTTATGCGCCCTAAACATGCCTGTATTTATGTGACTGACACAATCACTTATCTTTTGGTGCATTTAAGCACATTGGATAATAGACCCTAAGAAAGGATGCATTTTTACATATTGAATAACAGCATAGCACTTGGATTCTCGTATTACTGTAGAATGTCTATTTATTGCAAAATTGTGCATTAGCAACTTGGTTTACGCTCCAGTGGATCGGAGGTGACGAGGGAGCTGGGCTGGGTGATCTTTGATGAAATTCACTATATGCGTGAAAGGGAACGAGGAGTAGTGTGGGAGGAGTCCATTATTCTCCTGCCAGACAGTGTGCGTCAGGTTTTCCTCAGCGCCACTATTCCCAATGCCAGGCAGTTCGCCGAATGGATTGCTTTCTTGCACAAGCGACCATGCCATGTCATTTATACTGACTACCGTCCCACACCTCTTCAGCATTATGTATTCCCATGTGGTGGGGATGGCATCTTCTTGGTTGTCGATCAAAAAGTATGTTGTGGCATATTGCTCCGCGTTTGCTGCTCTATTGATAGTAATACGTCTTCCTCAGCTGCTTCCTTTATTGGGTCTAATATTAGGTTCCAGTGTAGACTTTAATAAATTGGTTAAATAAGCCTAGTCAAATTTTTATAATCTTGGTTCTTCATTTCACGAATCCTTGGGTTTGTGTGAGGAAAACCGAGCGGATCCTCATGTCACTAATGCTATAGTCCTGCATTATTTCTCTGGTTATTGTTTCCGCCTAGCGCAAATTCTTGGAAGCCAACTTCAATTCTGCGTTGGACGTTGTTCGCGGGGCCGCAGGCAACGCACGCTCGGATACATCGATGCGTGGTCGGAAGGGCGGCTCCCTTAGGGCTGCAACCTACTGCTACAAACTGGTCAAACTTGTGATGGATCAAAAACTCGAGCCTTTAATAGTTTTCTCCTTTAGCAAGAAGGATTGTGAATTCTACGCCAGTCAACTATCTCAGGTGGATTTTAACGGGGGTAACAAGAGAGGAGTATTATTTTTAGCTTCACTTTCTTTGTTCTCCTATTTCCATTGCTCTATCTGATATTAGGTCAATTGCTAGCATCGTCGTCTGTTATTCCTTCTTTGCTGAGCACGACTTCATCCACTTCTGTTATCCTAGATACTAAATTAGCGATTTTCAGTGTTATTAGGCTCTTTCACAGTTGTGCTTATTTCAGGTAAAGATAAGGCTGCCGTTGATTTAATCGTTGGAAATGCTCTTGAATCTCTTTCACCGGAGGATCAGAGACTTCCACAGATTCTCTCAACGCTACCGATACTCAGAAGGGGCATTGGTATTCATCATGGAGGTTTACTACCGATTCTCAAAGAAATTGTTGAAATTCTCTTTGCTGAGGGTTACCTTAAGGTGATTCATTGATGCACATCATCACGTTTTGCATGACGTGTTTTTTTTTCACCGCATGTTCTTTGATGGTTGAACAGGACCATACTAAAGGTTTGGGCGCTTTATACTTTTTCGTATTATATTTGAAATGCATATAATTAATTTCATCTCGGTCCGACGAAAAACACGCTTCCATCATATTTAGTCAACCCTCTTCGCCTCCTAATGGCTTTAGGTTCTTTTTGCCACTGAGACTTTTGCCATGGGGTTGAACATGCCAGCACGAACCGTGCTCTTCACGGCAACGCGTAAGTTCGATGGGAAGGACTTCCGTCACATCTCATCCGGTGAGTACATCCAAATGTCGGGTCGTGCGGGGCGGCGTGGTAAGGATGATCGAGGCACAGTGATTCTTATGCTTGATGAAACCGTTACCCCCGATGCGGCCAAGCAGCTTCTTTTGGGTATGCCGGATCCTCTTAATTCGGCCTTCACACTCTCCTACAACATGGTGCTCAGTCTTCTTCTCGTTGAGGACATCAATCCTCAGATTATGCTTGAGAAGAGTTTCTTTCAATTCCAAAACTACGCGTCAATTCCCGCTTTAGAGCAAAGTGAGTCTGTCGGTATTTTTAGCCAACATTTTTGAAGTCATTGATTTTCTTTGATGCTTTTACACATTATATGCACACATTTTTCTTGTTCAAAAGAAATTGAATCGGTTTAGAAGTGAGAATCAGAAGTCCTGAAATGGGGTGCTTACTTTATTGACACGTTGACGTCGACTGTGTCGACATGTTAGTCCTTCGCTTGCAATTGATACATTTATATTGGCATCTTGGAATCATTTTTCCGGTGTCATTGTGCATTCTCTTGCATCTACTATTAATTTGCAAGGTTCCCTAACGTTTCAGTTGGTGTTTTGTAATTTTTAAACATGTTGATGGATGTGGGATTTTTTTATTGGTTTGCTTACTTTAAGGTCCGATGGTGCGTACTAGGCTGTCTACTCCTGTGGGTTGTCAATCTGATTTACTTATACAATTTTTTTTCTTTAGAAATCGCGAGTTTGGCCGCAGATTTCAAAGCTGTTGAATTG